TGAGAGTCCATGTTTCGACTCGGTATAGCAATAATGTATAAAAGAATGTTTTTACAAATTGATATCGGGTATCCAACGATAAGATAGAGTTTATTAGGAATGTTTAATACATTCATTAATGTTTACACTGATATTGTGATATTTAAATTTAAATTACTTAACTTTGGTTTATACGTATTTCTACTTGGATTGTTCTTGATTTTGTAGTTATAGGATATGTGGGTTTAAATTAATTATCTTTAAAATAACTAGTTTAAATTGATCTTGATTTAAATTGACCTTGACTTAAATACCTAGTCCTTGATTATTTAGTTATATATTTTAATAACTTTCCTTTGGTTTAATAGTCTTGTAAACTTGATTTTACTGTCATAGAGTAATTCATCATAGAGTAATAAGTCATTAAAATTATTTTTAATGACTTATTACTCTATGATGAATTTCTTTTAGTTTAAGTTTAAGATCCCTTAATGTTGTACCCTCCTTAGCACCCGTAGGATATTTGGGTTTTAATAACTTCTCATTGGTTTAATATATTGCTTAAAATAATTAGTGAGAAAATGGTTCTCTACATAAGGCACAAATCATACCAATCGTAAAGATGCAAAAATCTAAATCCTTTATCAAAATCACCCTCAAGACCCATGACCCCCCCTCCCGACTGGGGGGATCAGTCACTGAAAAAAAATTGACCCCATGACTCCACCCGAAAAAAAAAATTTCCGGATCCGCCACTGCGGAGTATAAAAAGGTTTTAGCATTAAATTCATATTTTTTTCTACTATTTGTCAGATCATTATAAACCATTATACGTAATATAGCTTCCTAATTATATAAAACGTGCAGATATAATGTGCTAATTATATATTTTATTGCTTAATCAACGTGCAAATAAACGAAATAATTATATAAATAAAAACTTAACCACAATTTTATAAAATTAAATACCTATTTTTATAATTTTTTTTAGATTTCATTAAATTGCCGATTTTTATATAAAATACAAGTTTGTATAAAATGAAGGGCACTTTCAAAGTACGGTTTGAACCAATTTAAGAACCAGCAAAATTGAAATTTTTTAAAACATATATCAATGGTAGAAACAATCTACTCTAACCTGGGAAAATATGAGAAAACGAAAAATGAATGAGATTTAGATGCTATTATTACATTAAAGGTTTCAACATTTTACTTTAATTTTAAGGAATTAACTATAAGAATGTTTTATGATTTATACATATTATTTTTGTTGGGTTAGGTACCGTATATACAAAAATCCAAACGTTCTTTGATTTCGCTGTACGATTTCCCTTGCAAAAACAAAAATCGAATTACCAACCGATATTGCCCTTTTTCCATTTTTCTAAAATCCACGGACATGCTCGCTTAAACACGCGGTCAAAACAAAACGATGAGTCTGATTCGGCAGAAATTTTGACATTAGCCGTCTACAAGAATGTATTACACGATAGTAGATTTTTCTTGAGATAGTGGCGCCATCGGGCGGTGAGGCTAAGTACTTATCGGACCGCCTACGTACGCTTCCGTCCTCTTACTAGCCATCTTATTTGGGGTAGTTTCCGTAATTTTAATGTAATTTGAATATAATGTTTGTTCGAATAAATCCATTCGGATAATGTAAGACTATTTATCAATATTTTTAATTTAGTTTTAACTCCCCGAAAAATCAGGCACCTGCCTACCCTCATAGCGAATTTAGTCCCGCACGGTGCAACATCTCTGTTTGCAGAAAGAAGCCCTAAAAAAACTCATCAAGGATTTACTCCTTACACATGTATACAGTGCTTTCCGAATTTGTCAAAGGTTTGTTCAGCTTACGGTATAAAAGCAATCAATAAAAACGACTGGGATAGACAATAGTGCACATACACTTTTGAAAAACTTATTAGCTAGTAAATAGTATTTAGTAGTAAGAATTTTGTTTAGCTCTTTATGTATTTATACTGATTTTATTTGTTATTCATTTCTCTCTCTTTTTCTATATAATAAAATTAGTTTGTACCTTTGGATAGCTTTTTGAACTGTTAGTGTTTAAGACATTCTTATGTTACAGGTAAGCGCTCTCATATTTTGTAACCGGCAATCTATGTTATACTCTTTATCTCATTTTAGCACATTCTTCATGTTTGTCCTATTGTGTAGATACTAATTTTATCTACATAAAGTGGTCCTTCAAACCGGATCTTGAGGCTTTTCTCTACCTGTAATCTCTTTCTTAACACTTTTGTTCAAAACCCCACAAAAATATCTTATATTTTTCTCCACCTTTAATGTTTTTATTTTTTTTTGTCTCTTTAAAATCATTTGATAATTTAGGTATTATTTTGTATATATAAATTCTCATTACGTGTCAAAGATGGAGTTAACACAAAGTTTAAAAATAGGCGCTTGACAAAAACTAAAATGACAAAATTAAATAATTATCTCGATACAAATTTGGCCAATCTCACTATTCACTCCACTAAAGATCGTATTTTGCATTTAAAAAAGGCGTATGATTCTTATTGCCAAGCTCAAGATGAAGTAGAATCCTCTGAAGCTGAAGATGATGAAGATACAAACATCAACGATAATATTTATTTAAATATGCTCTCCACACTTGAGGAGAATTTGCTTAAATTTAAGTTAATAGAAAATAGCAGTTCTTCTAGTTCTTTTTCTCAAAATAATCCCTCTAGCTTACCCACGCAAAGAAGCATAAAACTTCCGCAAATTCAATTGGAATGTTTTTCTGGCGATTTCAACAAATTTCAAACCTTTCTTTAAATATTTACTAGCAAAGTAAATGCAGATACATATAGAGTCTAATTACAACATTGCACTTTCCACGTTAGTTAATAGGTATTTCAATAATCGTATTGTTGTCAAACAGTTATTCGCAAAAAATATTGATACAAAAGGGTTACCTAATAATGCAACCTTTACACAGCTCAGAGAATTTATATATATATATATATATATATATATATATATATATATATATATATATATATATATATATATATATATATATATATATATATATATATTTAACGTGATTATTTCGACAAAAAACCAATTTATAAGTATGTTGGATATTGGGTATGTGGTCTATATTAAATAAAAATCTTTGTTTTTTCTAAAACTCAATATTTCGCCATTTATTTAAGAGCTTCATCAGGAGTAACTGTAAAAAACAAACATTTCAAAAAACTGACGTACACTTAGATTTACAATACTTACAGAAATTAAAAGATTTCACACATAAATAAACTTGGCATTAAAATAAACATTTTTGATAATGTATATGTATGTTAAAATATAAATATATTTGAGCACGTTCATTAACAATAAATAAGATGGAAACAACTAAAAGTTATTTAAAATGCAAAAACTAACAATCTAAGAAAACATTAGAGGAATATTATTTCTTTAATTAATCATTAATGCTAGTTAGTATGACTAATCATTAAGGTGAGTGAGTTTTAAATTTTGTTCAATACATTGCAATATATGTTGCTTAATTGCCCCGTGTCTGTTTTATAATTTAAAGTTTGTTTATTTTTGTTGATGTGGTACATCTCCAAAAATAACCTACTTTTGTAATTTTCAGTCTGTGCCAAAATACGAGCATTGTTATAGTCTAACAGATGACGGGTGTTGTTATAATGCTCGACTACTGCACAACTACTATTTCCTAAGCGGCAATCACTTTTGTGCTGTGTGCTACGTTGTTTTAGCCACTGCAATGTATGGCCAATGTAGCTTTTTTCACATCCTAGTCACGGTATTTCATATACCACATTACTCCTATATAAGGTTGGTACTGGATCTTTAATTTTGGAAAAAAGTTGTTTGCTATTTATGGTATTGTATTTAGCTATATTAATATTGGAAACATCTTTAAATATGGATATCACTGAATGAGTTAGACCATTGATAAAGGGGAGTTTTTTATATTTGATGGACTCATTGTTGGAATCAAGGACAGGACCATCATAGAAATTACTGCTGTAAATGAGTTTTTTTAAAATATGTTTAGGATAGCCGTTGTTTCGAAAAATTTTGTATAATATGTCCAGATTTTTCTGTAATAAATTATCATCAACAATGGACATTACCCTATTTTTCATACCCAATATTGTATTATATTTTTGACGAGTGGCAGGTATATGAATTAATTTTCAAACCACACCACTCAAATAAAACAAGTAATTTACAACTGCGTGGTATGCCACAGATTTAAAGCAAAACCAGTCACCCAGTTTATGTTTGATCTTCACTATAACCGTGTTTCAGGTACAAGACCCTTTCAATTTGTCCTAGTGGACTATGCTGGACATTTTACGTTGAAATCATCTCAACTTCGTAAATCTCCTTCCTATAAAGCTTATGTAGCATTTTTCATTTGCATCACAACTAAGTGTTGCCATCTTGAGCTAGTAACCGGCCTCATTAGTCAGGCCTATATTTTGACACTAAAAATATTTATAGCACGAAGGTCAGTTCCATCATGTATCTGGTATGACAATGCGACTAATGTTTATGGGGCAAAAAACGAGCTCCATGAACTCAATCATCAATCATCTTTACTTTGAGAGAGCAGTATTGCGTCGTATGCATAGCAAATTATTTTAAGTTGTTTTTCTCCATTTGCTATCCTTTTTAGTTTTTATTTTTTTATTATTTCATCCGTAATTAGGTTGAACAATAGAGGATTCAAAGAATCTCCATGTCTTATCACATTGTCAGCTTTAGTATGTTCAGTTAGTTCTTCTTCTACTTTTACTTTTATTGTGTCGTTTTAATAAATATTTTCGATCATTTTGGTCGATTGGTTAGCAACCTACCAACCGTAAAAACGAATGTTACTCACAGAAACAATGTACAGCCTCGGAACTAGTTTCGTTAATCTTTTTCATAATAATAATGTATTTAGATTAAAAATTAAAATCGCATTGTCAATTTAGCGTTAATCGCAATTTATTTTATATTACAGACTTGCTAATACCAAAAATAATGGAACCTTCCCACCAAATTTCTTATTTGGAGTAGCTACTTCTGCTTATCAAACCGAAGGTGGTTGGAACGAGGATGGGAGGGGAGAAAGTATTTGGGATGAATATAGCCATCGAGTGCCTTCCCCGATAAAGAATAATGATACAGGGGATATAGCTTGTGATTCCTACCATAAATATAAAGAAGATGTTAAACTTGTAGCAGATCTTGGCGCCGATTTTTACAGGTTTTCAGTCTCCTGGTCAAGGTAATAATTTTTAAAAACCTTTTATTTTAATACTTTTAAAAATTTCTGAAATAATAATATTACAAAAATATGATAACAAAATATTTAATACTATTTGTAGGTACTTTCAAATTAAACACTTAGGTAGATTTAAAAAACACTTTTTCTTCGCTCGTTTCTTTTGTTTTCTTATAGTTCATTTCTAGACCTTCCGTTTTGGGATGCTTCATTTAGTTGGTATAACGTTTGTTTCCAACTCTTTGCTATAATGAGTTGGTGAACTATTTTAAGCTCAGACGTCTAATAATTAATGATATTTATCAGGGACTCGTTGACCTTTATACTGTCTCCGGAGGCGTGTCAGGTAGAAGCTGACCGCCGTGCCGGACGCATTTAGAAATTCGGAGAAATACTTGGAAATTCCAAGTGTGGGCAAATCCGAATTTCTAATTGACTCGATGTAGGGAAATTCCACTTTTACTACGTAAAACAAAGAATTTGTTTTATATAAAAGCAGACGGAATTTCTCTCATCGGTCAGTCGAGCTTGCCTCTTCTTCTGTAGACCTAGTCGGTGCTATTATTGTTCCGACTAAGCTATTGTTTTATTTCTTATTTCCTGATAACCATTTATATTTTATTATTGTATATTCAGACCTTTTCAGGTTAGAATATTACTTTGACTTATATTTGTTCATATACTGATTCTTTGATATTTTATTTGATTATTTTGATTGTTTATTTTTCTTGTATTTTGTATCTAAGTTGTTCTTCCGTAAGTTAAGAACACTTAGAAATATTTATCTTACTTTTTTCTATTTTATAAATTTGATTTTGTACTTTGTGTCTAAGTAGTTCTTTCCGGTAAGTCAAAGAACTCTTAGAAATATTTCTCTGATATTTGACTTGTTAATTTTATTGTGTGCCTAAGTCATTCTTTTCCGGTAAGTCAAAAGAACACTTAGAAATATTTTCATAATCATTATTGCATTATTATTTCCGATATTTATCTAAGATATTATCTTAATATATTTGTCTCTTTTATTTTACCATTTCATGCTGAGTTGTTTCTTCCGTAAGTCAAGAAACACTTAGCAATATTTCCATATCTTTTCTGTATTTGGTTTTCTTATTTTCTATTATAAGTTGTTTCTTCCGTAAGTCAATAAACACTTAGGAATATTTCTGCACTTTTCTGTTCTTTTATTCTTGTGTATTTTACTTTTCATTCTAAGTTGTCTCTTCCGTAAGTCAAGAAACAATTAGAAACATTTTCTGTGCATTGTATTTTTTATATACCATTTTATTTCCTTGTTTACTAAGTTATTTCTTTCGTAAGTCAAAGAATACTTAGATTATTTTACCTGTTCTGTTTTCTATTTTGATCTGCTATTTTGTAACTGTTCCTTGAAACTGTTACCTATAACAGATACTTGTCACGGTAACTGTTATTTTATACCAGTAGCAGTATTAACACGTTTTACCAGCGACAAGCAAAGATGCTCAACACCCGATCAAATTCCGGGGAGAGGAAGAAGTCCGAAGAGCCGGCGATGGGTCCTACAGGCCCAAATGCCCCCTCTCGGCAACATGGCGCCCAACTAACAAAACCCGAACTCACGACCCCAGGACCGTCTTCAAGCCAGCCTGCTACAGCTGGCTTTATCTCTGCCTTGATGCAAGCGATGACGGCCCTATCCACAACTCAAGGCACTGCACCCCAGATGCCTCAGCCTGAGACACCGAAGTCCAGGATAAATTACACGAAGCCCCCTCAATTCTCAGGCCGGGACACCGAGAATCCACTCAGCTTTTGGACAAAAGCTGAGAATTTCTTAATCAAACATGACGTAGACAAGGACCAATGGATCGCCTACCTCATAGACAATTCCCTCCACGGCGATGCGAAGAAATGGGCTCAGAAATTTTCATACACGGACCTGCCATACACCACATTTCGAGACCGTCTCCTAAGGAGATACAATGACCCTGCCGCAATTTCAACCCTGACGTCGAAGCTTTATGGAGAACATCAACGTAGGGACGAATCCACGGAGGAGTTCATTAACCAGAAATCTGCCTTATTTAGACGTCTCATGCCACATACACCCGAGGACCAGAGATGTATAATGATAGCGAACTTACTGAGACCTGACATTGCGATATGCCTGAGAGCGAACATCCCCAAGACCTAGGAAGACCTGACAATCGCCCAGGGCATGGAATCTGACATCCGCCGGACCGGCAAACCCCAGCAGCAGCAACAACAGCCGTACCGTCCCCCACGTCAGGATAACGCTCCACGACACCCTGAGGCGATAGACGAATGGAGGAACCCCCGCGGACAGCACAGGATGCCCTCAATTAACCAACCACCACCTCCAACCCCACAGAACCAGGGAAACGCCAATCGGGGCGCCAACTGAACCCTGTTGTGAAGATGGTGCCCCAACTGAATCCTATTCAGGTACAACCCTCGACAGCAGGCCTCCCCCAACTCTATGGAAGGATCAACGGGCAACAAGTGAAGATTTTGGTCGACACCGGTGCCTCCGGGAACTTCGTTCACCAGAGGTTGATCCAGAGACGGGACCTGCAACGAGGACCAGGACTGGTTCAGCTGGCATGCACGGGCAGCACATCCCGCACCCTAGGGACTGCTGCAGTCAATATGAACATTGATACTCTGGACACGACTGTAAACTGCATGGTTATGGAGGATTTGAACCACGACGTTGTGTTAGGGATGCCTTGGTTGGAGCAGGAAGAGGCCAATGTAGACATACCCCGAAAATGTCTACACGCTGGTAATGCCTGCCGAACCACCATCTACTGGGCGACCCCAGCAGAAAGGCAAGCCAAACCACAACAGGTGGAATTCCATCAAACCCCATCCCAACAAGCAGAGCAGTCAAACCAAGAGGACAATGAAGTATTAGACAACCGTCCACGTCAGCCGACCACTGAAGAAACCGAAACAGCGGACATCAGTACAGGCACACCCGAAGAAGAAGAAGAAGTTCCACTACTAGAGACGATCGAGGACGTCGACGAGAAGGAAGAACCTAGCCTAACAGCAGATGACATGCCAGACGCCGAATGCCTTCTATTGATAGAGACAATGGAGCATGGCAACGAGGAGAAGGCCACCGACCCCATCCTCGACGGTCCGGTCGACATACCACTTCGAGAGGAAATCCGGAGAAGTCACCGGACACGCAAGAGAAAGAAACGACTTCTGAGGCACGAGCAGCAAACCTCCGAAGACGCACCCAGGAGCGAGATTGAAGAGAATCTCCTCCAAGAGTTCACGATGGTCGACGATGCTGACCATAGGACCCTGACCCCTCCGGACGGACGGGATGAAGGAACCACAGCGAAGCCGACCACCAAAGACGACCAAGGATAAGGTCCCATTACGACACGTGGAGATATCAAGGTGAATTGAGTAGCCTTATATCTTCACGACGTCGTAGGACCTCCTCAGGGTGAATAAAGTAGCCCTGACGGAAGCAGACGACCCACCTAGACCACCTGGACCGCCTGGACCACTATAATTTTAAGTATGATATATCTTAAGTTTGAATTGTATTTGTATTGTATTTTTTTTTCTTAGGTTAAGGATTTCTTATTGTATGTATTTTGATTTTGATTTATCAATAAATTTTCTTTTAGCACCGTTAGGTCTTTCAGAGGAGGGGGGATGTCTCCGGAGGCGTGTCAGGTAGAAGCTGACCGCCGTGCCGGACGCATTTAGAAATTCGGAGAAATACTTGGAAATTCCAAGTGTGGGCAAATCCGAATTTCTAATTGACTCGATGTAGGGAAATTCCACTTTTACTACGTAAAACAAAGGATTTGTTTTATATAAAAGCAGACGGAATTTCTCTCATCGGTCAGTCGAGCTTGCCTCTTCTTCTGTAGACCTAGTCGGTGCTATTATTGTTCCGACTAAGCTATTGTTTTATTTCTTATTTCCTGATAACCATTTATATTTTATTATTGTATATTCAGACCTTTTCAGGTTAGAATATTACTTTGACTTATATTTGTTCATATACTGATTATTTGATATTTTATTTGATTATTTTGATTGTTTATTTTTCTTGTATTTTGTATCTAAGTTGTTCTTCCGTAAGTTAAGAACACTTAGAAATATTTATCTTACTTTTTTCTATTTTATAAATTTGATTTTGTACTTTGTGTCTAAGTAGTTCTTTCCGGTAAGTCAAAGAACTCTTAGAAATATTTCTCTGATATTTGACTTGTTAATTTTATTGTGTGCCTAAGTCATTCTTTTCCGGTAAGTCAAAAGAACACTTAGAAATATTTTCATAATCATTATTGCATTATTATTTCCGATATTTATCTAAGATATTATCTTAATATATTTGTCTCTTTTATTTTACCATTTCATGCTGAGTTGTTTCTTCCGTAAGTCAAGAAACACTTAGCAATATTTCCATATCTTTTCTGTATTTGATTTTCTTATTTTCTATTATAAGTTGTTTCTTCCGTAAGTCAAGAAACACTTACAAATATTTGTATTCTTTTTTTTTGCTATATTTGATTCTCTTGTTTGTTTTCTGTTCTAAGAAACACTTAGAAATATTTCCATACATTGTTTCAAATTTACATATTTCATTTATCGATATTTCTGTCTTAAGTTGTTTCTTCCGTAAGTCAAGAAACACTTAGGAATATTTCTGCACTTTTCTGTTCTTTTATTCTTGTGTATTTTACTTTTCATTCTAAGTTGTCTCTTCCGTAAGTCAAGAAACAATTAGAAACATTTTCTGTGCATTGTATTTTTTATATACCATTTTATTTCCTTGTTTACTAAGTTATTTCTTTCGTAAGTCAAAGAATACTTAGATTATTTTACCTGTTCTGTTTTCTATTTTGATCTGCTATTTTGTAACTGTTCCTTGAAACTGTTATCTATAACAGATACTTGTCACGGTAACTGTTATTTTATACCAGTAGCAGTATTAACACGTTTTACCAGCGACAAGCAAAGAT